TCTGGTCCAAAATGGTAACTATGTGGTCCAGGCGACAGGGAGGCTGTGCTAAGCACCGCTCTCCAGCTGGGGCCTCCGCCATCTTAACTAGCGCTTTCTAAGGCCGTGAAAGCCCCAGCTTCCTGCCTCTCAGCAGCGGGACCTGGGCACCTCTGTGCCTTCCTGCCTGTGAAGTGGCTGCCAGAGTGCCCACCCCAGGGGCTCTGAGGGTGAAAGGAGGTAGCATGTGTCCAGCGCCTGGCCCGGGAGTGCTGTGTAGTGTCTGTTCAGTGCATATTTGGCCGTCCCGGGTCTCCCGGGGGGCGGCAGCCAGTTTACCCGCCGCGGGGCATGCTGCCATCAATACGCACACTGAGCTAGGGCTTCTGAGTCTTCTTCATCTTAAATGTAGCTAATTCTGACTCTTCTGTTTCTCTTCTGTTTGGGAGGGGAGGGGGGCTGGTATTAATTGTTCTATTTCCCGGATAAGTAAAGTTTTAATTTGAATATTGTCGTTAAGATGGTGAAGTGAACCTTGACCTTTCTAACGTGAAGCGTCCAACGCTCACTGGCGTTTCTTAAATTGCTTGTTAGCCTCCGTACAGCCGACGTTGGATTTTTGTCGAAGGCTGGACAGCATCGTCGGGCCCCAGCTCACGGTGCTGGCATCTGACATTTGTGAGCAATTTAACATCAACAAGAGGATATCTGGGTTTGTACTTTGCTGCGTGTTTACTCTCAAGCATTAACTGACCTTGGAAGAGTAAGGGTGGGTTTTGCTTAAGAAGGTGGGTGGTGGTGACGTTCGTGTTTTCTCTGAATCCGGAGAACGTGGGCTGTTCAGTCCTGGGGAACCGCTCCCAAGTGTTTCTGCCCTACGGTGACAGCTGGGGCTGGGTCTTCTCTCACTGCATCCCCTTAGCCCTCTCCCTGGTGGCGCTGTGACCATCTGGGGTCAGGTGTGCTGTCTGTGCCTGTGGTCGTGGCCCTGTGAGTGCGCCTCACATTCCTCCTGCCCCCCACCCCCGCGCACTGCGAGTGGTATTCGTCGTATGGAACACCTCACGGATATCAGCTAAGCTACTGTTCAGCCCTACGCCTTAACTGAGATTCTTGATTTGAAGGCCCAGCTGTTGGAAAGGCAGCCTCAGCCATCACACGGTCAAGGCTTTGCCAGTGTAGCTGTCGGGATCAGATCACTGTACTTTCCTATGTCACCGTCTCAATGACATGTTTCCACAGGTCTGAGAAGGAACCCCAGTTTAAGTTTATCTACTTCAACCACATGAATTTAGCAGAAAAAAGTACAATTCACATGAGGAAAACACCCAGTGTGTCACTAACATCTGTCCACCCGGACTTAATGAAGATTCTAGGTGACATCAACAGTGACTTCACCAGGTAATTCTCACCACCTCTCAGTTTAGGTGCCTGCTTTCTAACAAGAGACATTAAAGGGCTCATCCCCAGAAGCTGGGGGACCCAGGGCCCCCTCTTCAGGGGCTCACACCTGATCACTGCCCTGGGCACCGCTGCCCAGCAGACCGCTGAGCCCAGAAGTTGCTGGTTGCTCATATGTGACGCCCTGAACAGAGTTTCCTGTTTCTTGTTTTAGAATGTCTGTTGTCACGGTCTAGCTGTGTATGGAAGCAGCAATTGCCTTTTGAAACTCTTGTCTTGCAGAGTGGATGAGGACGAAGAAATCATCGTGAAAGCCATGAGTGATTACTGGGTCGTTGGGAAGAAGTCTGACCAGCGGGAGCTGTATGTCATTTTGAATCAAAAAAATGCAAACCTGATTGAAGTAAATGGTAAGTAGGATTTGGTATTTGAGCAGAATTTTGATGCTACTGATATTTAAAAACGATCTTTTCAGCATACAAAGAAACACACTAAATAGAACAAAGTATGACTTGAGATTTTAAGCAGATGCCTCTGTTGCCTAAAGGAAAGCATCATGTGACCTATTTCTGTTTTTCTGTAGTTTAGTTCCTTGGGAAAGTATGTGGAACACTTGCCAGTCTCTTGGGAAACTTGATAAAGGCCAAAAGAAAATTATTTGCTGTAACACTAAGGAAAAACCAAAATCCCATGGCTTTATGTACTGTGTGTAAAAATGTCCATTTTTATTCCCCGTATAAAAACACATTTTGGTGCAGAGCTGCCAGGTTTACTCGGCAGTTCACAGCCATCTCTGTGCACAACCGGAATAATGATGCAGAAGTTTCCTTCCGCCTTCCAGCCGGAGCGGTCAGTCTGGCTGTGCACTTGGCAGAACCCCGACGGCGGCTCTCACTTGCCCTGGAGGATAGCATGTGTCACTTTGAGGGCACTGGGCTCCTTTGCTGCCCTGCCTGAGACCTGGAGCAGGGAGAGTACAGCTGGGGGATGCAGCCCAAGTGCCGACTGTAAGAACAGTTAGGTGTGAGGGTCCTTTGTTCTGCAGACATCTTCTGGGGCGTACGCAGTTCTTCTCCTGACCCAGGTTCTTGTGTGAATAGTTGTGTGCGTGAGAAACTACCTCGGTGAATTACATGCCTCATTTAAAACAGGAATCGAATACGATCAAGGCAGTGGCGCCCTGTGGAGCGCCTGCTCCCCAGCTCAGGGCTGCAGGGGGCTCTCCTGGGGTTGTGCCAGGCTCCTCAAGATCTGAGGGGTCCTGCTCCTACCCCCACCCCGCGGGGGTCCTAGGCACTTTGAGTGCTGGCTTTGAGCTTTCTCGGGCCCAAAGGAGCCGCGTTAAATAGCACTGAAGTCTCTTACAAGTTAGGCTTTTTTCTTTCTCTCAGTTTATTAACAGTTCATACCAGGGCTACTGAGATTTAAGGTCAAAATTAATGCAGACTTGCATTTATTCCCATCTTGACTCCAGGGAATTTCAGGTGCTGATAATAGATCATATAACCTTTTAAGCGAGAACTTCTTTTCCTTACGCACTGTTTTCTGTTCTTTTTGCAGAAGAGGTCAAGAAACTTTGTGCGACACAGTTCAATAACATCTTCTTCCTGGATTGACTGATACTGGCTCACCGAAACATCTTTTGAAAACAACTCAGCAAGCATTTTGTTTACCATTGCAGGTTATTGGTCATATTACTGACTGGATTAATGACAATAGTAAAGCAATACTTGCTTTGAAGAATCAAATTTCTACTCAGTCTGATGATCCCCTGAGGTTTTTAGATTTTAAATATTTATGTGGAATTAATTACAGGTAGTCAGCTACATCTCTGTCATTCCATTCTTTTGACATTATGTGAATATTTTACTGGAAAATAAGACTAATAAATTGTTAAAGTTTTTAAATTTCTGGTTTTGCAGTGAGTCTGTCCCTCGTTGCTCGTTTGTAGACCACACTGGCCGTGGGGTCCCAGCCCATCCTCGGAATATTCTAGCAGCTAGAGCCGCTCTGGGTTGGGATTCCTTCCCAGTCACTGGACCTCGGGTGGTAAACCGTGAGGCGTCTGCCCAAAGTAGTTGCTGGACTTGGTTTTATTTTGAGTATTAACCTGATTTTTCGACCACAAGTAAACAGAATACAAAGAACTGAATGGAAGCGCTCCAGTGTGGTCCAAGCATAATGCCACGGAGTGGCCCCAGGAAGCCGCAGCTCTGCACGCATCCTCACAGCTGAGAGTATGTCTGGCTGAATTTGATTTAACTTAACTTTTGGTGATCTGGACGTGCCAGAGTTTGGGTGGAAGCTAGCCAGGCACGGTCTGGAAAAACTGGTACTACGCCAGCCGTCACAGGCGCTCCACAGCTGCCCTCGCCCGCCTGGGAGTTCGGGCGGACAGGAGGGGGGCACTTCTCGTCAGTTTGCAGCATTTTCAGCCTCGCTCAGTCATACGTGACTCACAGTCTCCGTTAGGATCGCCCCTTAACCCGTGAGTGACAGCTGTGTTCCAGTTCCCAGTGATCTTAGGCTTTCTTTACGGTGTGTGTTCATTCCTGACGTATTCATTGCAGCAAAACTGGATCATGGTCTCTAATGTGTTATTTGAAATTGTTGTAGTTTTCAGCCTGAAACCTAGTCCCTGTTTCTGTCAGTCTTTATTCTCCGTTGCATGCTGGCTGCTAACGCTGGGTGTTAGCGCAGACTCCGTAGGTTAGTGGCTTACATTATTTGTGTCCTTACTAAATGCGTGCTTCCCGATCTGTTTCTTCCATCGTGGTTGTAAGTCTCCTCTGTGGTGGTTCCGTCAGCTCTCGTGAGGCTAGTGCGTAAGATGCAGGGGAGTGAGTGGTGCTCCTCTTCGGTTGTTGGTCCTTCTTCTGTGCCCTGCAGATGTTGGCTTCAAATTCTGCTTTGTCTGTTTTCAATCTTGGTTGCTCTTCAGTCATCTTGATTGTCCTGGCACACCTTCTTCCACATCTTTATTTTCATCCTTTCTGTCTGGTTTTGTTTTTTCCCTTATAAAAAGTACCATTGAAGTGAATTTTGATTTTTTTGTAATCCAATTGAATTCTCTCTGGATTTTTTTTTTTTTCGGTGGGGAGGAAGAAGTGAGTTAATCTGTCTGCTTGGTGACGATGCGTGTATCTGTCCTTTCCACACTGTCATCTGTGTTTTCTGTTTCCGGTCTTCCTCCCAGCTCTGTATTGGATGGTAGTTTTCTTCCTTTTGATAGCTTGGAAGTTGTAGATTGTATTTTTACTCTTTCAGTGGTTACTCTTAAACTGAACACAAATTATAGCTGTAATATTTTTCTAACAGAGACGAAGTGTTCACTTAACTGACGACGGCACACCTGGCCTCTCATCCTGCTGTTTGGCCTTCTGTTCACACAGTGCTGTTTGCCATGCTGCGGGAACTGATGGGAGAGGACTAGGGAAGGGCCCTGTAAGAGGCAGCACGTGAAGGACAGGTAGGATTTGGACACGGGGCGGTTCCAAGGGGCAGAGGAGGCCTAAAGAAATGTTTAAACGACTTCATCCACTTCCACTGGTTTCTGATGGGTTTGATCAGATTCTAAACTTAATCACCAGGACTATGATTTAAAAGAACCCAACATAATGTATATACTGTCACTTAAAACCCACATGTGTGTATCTGCATTCAGCTCAGTTGTCAAAACAGAGGCATTCTGGTGAGCCCACCAAATAATAAACCCATAATAAACCCAAAACCCAGTGGGCCCAGGCTGTGGTGTTTAATGAAACATGGAGACAAGAAGTAAAACACACACAGGTTTGCTGGTGAGGAAGTTTGAATCCCAGTGCTTTGGTTCTTGGCTCCTTTTATGTCTGCTTGTTCTTGTGGCTCATTTACAAGCCCAGTGACCTCTACTTTCTCTTTTTCTTACTTGAGATGGATTTGCTGCTCTGAGACACCACTGTGTCCTCTTTCGGGGGGCTTGGTGTGATACTGGAGGAGGGGGCGTCCACCGGTTCCTTGATCACAGTGATATCGACCTCCAGGTCTGGTCTTTTGGCCTCTTCCTCTTTCAAGCTGTTTAGCCTAATACAAGAAGCAAACAAACATAAGAAGGTATTTTTTTTCCCTTTGCAATTTTAAAAAGTTTTTATGCTGTACATGGTGTAAACGGGTCCATATCTGGATCTCAACCATTTTTGTGACAAAACGGTAAACTGTCATCACTTTGCCTGAAATGAAGTGATGCCACAGCCAGACAGTCCAAGATCAAGTCTCCATGTGTCTGCAGGGACTCGTGAAGCACGTGTCTCTGCAGTGACTTAGCAGCTCGTAAGGAGCCTTTAAAATAGCATTGTAGCCCTTTGCCTTAAATCTAATATTTTCTTCAACAGGCTGCTTGAGATGCACTTTACAGAGGGCAGGCGTGTGCACTCTGGACGGACCTGTCTGCGTGGAACTGAGCCTGGACCGCGGTTCTGGAAAGGTGAGTGTGCGCCCTTTGCTGGGAGCTCACATGCACCAAGCATTGTTTCTGACACTTTACAGTGGCTCAGTCAGTCCTCGTGACAGTGCTCCGAGGTACCGCCCACCTTACAGGTGAGGAAGCTCAGGCTCACGGGACAGACCTCATCCAGGGTCACCCGGTGTTATAAGTGGGGGCCAGGATGTGAACAGGGCTGTCTGTCTCCCAGCCACTGTGTCACAATGCCTCTTCATGGGCACCTGGGGACACAGGTGTCATCACCACGTTAGACAACCAGGGGAGAACGCGTGGCTATGGGTCCCAGGTTCTCAGTCCCATGTGAGGACATGCCACCCTTAGGAAATTGTAGACTTTGAATGAAAGTGTTTGGCCCTGAAGCTTCTGGCAGCTACAGGGGACAGGAGAGACACGGGACTGAGAGCCCAGGAGGGCGGGACGGGCCAAGAGGCTCTGCCAGGTTACCTGGCTTCCAGCTCATCGTCTTCCATTTCCCTCTGCTGGGCCATCGCTTCATTATGCAGCCGGTTTTCCCTGACTTTCTCCTTGAGGGTTTCTTCGTGTTTATGTGCTTGGAAGAGTGTGTTCACGAAAAAGATGTACATGTTAGTGATCCACATGTTGAGTTTTTCCTTTTGTTCATCCTTGGATTTTTCTTTTTTCTCTGGAAGAAAGGTTGATTAGAATGAGCATTAACACAATCCTGCAATAACTTTGGAGTCTGTGTCTGTTTTCCAGGTCTGTCGCTTCCTGTGGTGGGCGAAGTGCCCTCTTCCCCCCCGCCCCCGTGAGATGGGGTGACGCTGCGCTCCTTGGAGGAGGGCTAGGTGGCTGCAGAATGCCCCAGGGACCACCTGCGGCAGGGCGTGCCGGGATTGTCAGCATCTCCTTCAGGTCTCTTGGTACCTGTGTTTTTTTTCTAACTAACTCCTACGTATTTTGGTTTTCTAAAATTAAAATCTTAAAAAATGTTACCACATTTTCATGCTTCAGAGAAAGAAAAAGAAAACTCTTGGCTTTTGCATACATTGTCTTTAAAGGCAGTTTTCATTCATAAAATTTTTTAAAGGATTTTAACTCTGAACTGAGTAACAAGGGAGGTAAAATTATTGACTTGGTGAGGAGTCGCTTCACATTTACTAAGGCCAACAGCTGCCACTTTGGAATGTGTTTAAAATCATTGATTTCTGGGAAGATGATGCTTTGGGTATCAAAGCATTGGGGATCTTTCAAGATAGTAGTTGCCTTTTGTCTGTGTCTATAGCTTGGGCTCCTATAGATGGCAGGGATGGGGAGGAGCAAGTCCTATGGGAAAGTAAGACTCTGACCAACCCACCCTCCCAGCCCAGAAGCCACTGCCACTGGCTGGAGGGCCTGGAGAGGAAGACTAATAGGAACAACCGTGATGCCAATGCCGGATTCTACAGAGACTAAGGGCACCTTCATCTGCACTCCCCACACGAACGCCTGGGTTCTGGGGCACCAGAACCACGGTCTCGGCTTGGGACGGTGGTGTGCACGGGGGCATTTAGTGGGAAGTGACGAAGACCAGCTTGCCGGAACCTGGCCCATCCCAGACGTCTGGGTATTCGCTACTTCAGATGCAAAGCAACATGAGACTTCAAGAACATGAAAAATCTAGGACAGATGACACCACCAAAGGATGATAATAATCTTCCAAAGACACGGAGATCTGTGATTGACTTGATAAAGGAGTTCATCAGTGAAATCAGGAAAATACACAAAGTGAAAAGTTTAACAAGGGGATAGAAATCATAACTAAAAAAGAGATTCTGGTGCTAATACAATGAAGAATGCAGCAGAGGGCATCCACAGCAGAATGGATGAGGCAGAAGAGACAATCTGTGAATTAAGAAATAGGAACTTTGCCCCTAAAGACGCCACACAAAAATTACTAGAACTGATAAACAAATTCAGCAAGGTAGCAGGATACAGGAGTAACACATAGAAATCTGTGTCATTTCTTTACACCAACAATGGAATGTCAGAAAGGGAAAGTAAAAAAACAATCCCTTTTAAAATCACATCAAAAAAAATAAAATACTTAGGGCCAAGGAGGTAAAATACCTATATACTGAGAACTGTAAAACACTGATAAAGAAAACTGAAGGTGATTTAAAGAAATGGATAGATACCCCATACTCTTGGACTGGAAGAAGTAATATTACTGAAATAGCCATACTATCCAAAGCAATCTACAAATTTAATGCAATCCCTATCAAATTACCCAGGACATTTTTCACAGAACTAGAACAAATAATCTTAAAATTATATGAAACTGTAAAAGACCCAGAATTGCCAAAGCAACCCTAAGCAAAAAGAACAAAGCAAGAGGCATAACCCTTCCACACTTGAGACAATACCACAAAACTGCACGAATCAAAACAGCTGGTATCAGTACAAAAACAGACATATGGATCATGGAACAGAATAGAGAGCCCATAAATAAACCTACACACCTATGGTCAGTCTTCAACAAAGGAATATACAATGGAGAACAGAGTCTCCTCAGCAAGTGGCGTCAGGAAAGCTGGACAGCCACATGTAAATCAGTGAAGTTAGAACACTCCCTCACAACCATGCGCGAAAATAAACTCAAAATGGCTTAAACTTAAATATTTTAAAACATGACATCATAAAGCTCCTAGAAGAGAACACAGGCATAACACTCCGACATAAATCATAGCAACGTTTTCTTAGGTCAGTCTCTCAAGGCAATAGAAATAAAAGTAAAAATAAACAAATGGGACCTAACCAAACTTATAAGCTCTTGCACAGTAAAGGAAACCATAAACAAAATGAAAAGACAGCCTATGGAATGAGAGAATATATTTACAAAAGATGCAACTGACAGACTTCATTTCCAAAATATACAAACAGCTCAATATCAGAAAAATCAAACAACCCAATCAAAACATGGGCAGGAGACCTAAATAGACATTTCTCCAATGAAGATGTACAAATGGCCAATAGGCACATGAAAAGATGCTCAGCAATGCTAATTATAAAGAAATGCAAATCAAAACTACAATGAGGTATCACCTCACACTGGTCCGAACAGCCATCATTAAAAAGTCTACAAATAATAAATGCTGGAGAGGGTGTGGAGAAAAGGGAACCCTCCTACATTGTTGATGGGAATGTGATTTGGTACAGCCACGATGGAAAACAGCAAGGAGGTTCCTTTAAAAACTAAAAATACAGCTGCCATATGATCCAGCAATCCCACTCCTGGGCATATATCCAGAGGGAACTCTAATTTGAAAAGATACATGCACCCCAGTATTCATAGCAGCACTATTTACAGTAGCGAAGACATGGAAGCAACCTAAATGTCAATCCAAAGATGAATGGATAAAGAAGATGTGGTATATTTATACAATGGAATACTACTCAACCATGAAAAAGAATGAAAAATTTTTTAAAAGAATGAAATAATACCATTTGCAGCAACATGGATGGACCTAGAGCTTATCATACTAAGTGAAGTAAGTCAAAGACAAATATATCACTTATATGTGGGTTCTAAAATATGATATAAATGAACTTATTTATAAAACAGGAACAGACTCACAGACATAGAAAACAGACTTATGGTTATCAAAGGGGGAAGAGGTGGGGGAAGGATAAATTAAGAGTTTGGGATTAGCAGCTACAAACTACTATATATAAAAGAAACAGCAAGGTCCTACTGCATAGCATAGGGAACTATATTCAATATCCTGTAATAAACCATACCCGAAAAGAATATGAAAAATTGTGTGTGTGTGTGTGTGTATACATATATATATATATATATATATATATATGATTCACTCTGCTGTACACCAGAGACTAACACAACATTGTAAATCAACTATACTTCAATTTAAAAAAAAAATAGGAACTTTGATCTCCTCTGACTGGATCATTTCAAAGAAAAGAGAATGAAAAAGAGTTTCTGAAATAAGCTTTGCATTGTTTAGGCTCTGGGAATATAACTGTGACTATAACTCACTGATCTCAGGACACTTACATGCTGGGAGTGGGGAGAGGTGTGGGGAGGTACAAATAAATTTCAGGTAGTGATACCTGCAAAAAAGAAAGACTAAGTCTTATTAAAGCAATAATGGCTGAAAACTTCCAAACTGGGGGAGGGAAATGGACATCCAGACCCATGAGGCCCAAAGGACCCCAAATAGGTTGAGACCAAACAGAGCTGCACCAAGACACATAATAACTAAATTATCAAAAGTCTAAGACAAAGAATTTCAAAAGCAGCAAGAGAAAAGAGAAGTTACATATACTGGAACCCCTATAAGAAAGTCAGCAGATTTCTTAACAGAAACTTTTCAGGCCAAGAGGAAAAGGGATAATATATTCAAAATATTTGAAAGAAGAAACTGTCAACCAAGAACTCTACACCCAGCAAAGCTGTCCTTCAGAAATGAAGAAGAGATAAAGACTTTCCTGAACAAAAAAAGCGCGAGGGAGTTTATCACCACTAGTCCTGCCTTACAAGAAGTGCTCAAGGGAGTTCTTTGAATGGAAGTAAAAGGACACTAATTAACATCATAAAAACACAGACAGTATAAAACTCACTGGTAACAATAAATACATAGTTAAAGTTAGTTTCTGTAATATGGTAATGGTGGTATGTAATTCATTTCACTCTAGTTCAGAAATTTTAAAATGTAGTAAAGGTCCATAATTACAATCCATTATGAGTTACACATATTAAAAAACTGTAAATGGTAATACCAATAACCTAAAATGGGGGGGGCACATAAAAGTATAAAGTCTAGGAGGAATTCTATTGAAGGTGTTATCAGTTTAAAACATGGTGTTAGAATTTTAAGGTGTGTAAGACTTAGGGTAACCACAAGGGAGAAGCCTGAAGTAATAACACAAAAGAATGTGATAAATAAGTCAAAGCAGACCAGTAGCAAAGACAGCGAAGCACAAAAGCAGGATAAGAAACAAGGAGCAGTGGTTCTACAGAACAGCCAGAAAGCACTTAACAAAATGGAACTCGTATGTCCTTTTCTAGTAGTGATTACTTTAAAATAAATAGATTCAGTTCTCTAACCAAATGACACAGAATGGCTGAATGGATTAAAAAACAAGATTAACAATATGCTGCCTACAGGAACTCACTTCAGCCTCAAAGACCCAAAGACTGAGAGTGAAGGGATGGAAAAGGATATTTCAAGCATATGGTAACCCGAGAAAAGAAGGGGTAGCTATGCTTATATCAGACAAAATGACTTCACGCCCAAAATGGTACAAAGAGACTGGGAAGGTCATTGTGTAATGATAAAGGGGTCAGTCCCTCAAGAAGATAACAACAATTGTGAATATTTATGCACCCAACATCAGAGCACCTAAATATATAAAAGCAAAAACTAACAGAGCATAAAGGAGAAATAAACAGCAATTCAATAATAGCTGGTGCGTTTAAGATCTTTCAACAATGGATAATATCAGTCAGAATCAATAAGGAAAGAGTGGACTGGATCCACATTATGGATCAAATGGCCCTAACACATTTGCAAAACATTCTGCCTGATAGCAGCAGAATACACATTCTTCTCAAGTGCACATGGAACATTTTCTAGAATAGATCTTTAGCTCACACAACAAGTCTGAGCAAATTCAAGAAGCCTGAAGGCGTATCAGGTATCTTCTCTGACCACGTGGTATGGAACTGGAAATGAGCAGCAGGAGGTAAACTGGAAACGCCATGAATGCGCAGAAGTGAAAGAGCGCTCTCCTGAACAACCAGTGGATGGAAGGGGAAGGTAAAGGGGAACTGAAAAGTGTCTTGAGATAAACGACAATGAAAGACAACATACCAAAGCTTAAGGGATGCAGCAAAAGCAGTTCTAACAGGGAAGTTCATAGTAATAACGGCCTATATTAAGAAACAAGAACGATCTCAAACAACCTAAGTCTATGCCTTAAAAACCTAGAAAAAGAAGAATAAACTGAACCCACAATTAGCAGAAGGAAGGAAATAACAGATTAGAATGGAAATAAATGGAACAGAGTACAGGCAAAAGCAGCAGCAAAGATGAACAAAATGGAGCTATTTGAAAAGAGAAACAAAACTGACAAACCTGTAGGTGGACTAGCCAAGGAAGAGAGGACCCAGGTCAACAAAATTATGAATGAAAATGGAGACATTACAGCTGATGCCACAGAAATACGAAGGATCGTAAGAGGCTACTGTACAACCTAGAAGAAACAAAAAAAGTTTCTTAGAAACATACAGCCTGCCAAGACTGAATCAGGAAGAAATAGAGTATCTGAACAGACCAATTACTAGTAAGCAGATCGGATCAAATTTCTCAGCAAAGAAAAGCCCGGGAAGAGATGGCTTCACTGGTCAACTTTGCCAAACGTTTAAAATTAATGCCAGTCTTTTTCAAACACTTCCAAAAAACTGAAAAGGAAGAAAACTTCCAAATTCATTTCACAAGGTCAGCATTACTCTGCTACCAAAGC